TACTCCTCCATAGATCCCTACCGGACGGGCGTAACGCCTAAAAAACCGGATATATATATATATATATATATATATATATACATATATAGTCTAGTTAATAATAGTTTCAAGACATTTGTGCCTAGAGGCCCGCTCAATGACCTGTTCATTTAGAACTTCTTCTTCTTCAAGTGCCGTCTCCATCAATGGAGGTTAGCGGTTATGGTGGCAAACGTTTGTCTATCTTCAGCTGCTCTTAAGAGTTCCTTAAATCCAAGTCCTGTCCAGTTTCTGATATTACGTAACCAGGACAATTTTTTTCTTCCAATTCCTCGCTTTCCTTCTATTTTGCCTTTTATTATCAACTGAGGGATGTAGTATTTCTCGTTGCGCAACAAATGCCCTAAATAACTGGTTTTTCTTCTTTTGACTGTTCTCAATAGTTCTTTTTCTAAATTGAGTGTAGCTAGTACTTCTTCATTTGTTTTTCGTGCTGTCCACGAATTTAGAACTAATTGTCCACAACTCTTGTTAACCTTTTTGGAACCACCATCATTTCAGGTTTCTAATATTATTATACTAACCATAGATAATTTATCAGAGTCTTTGGATATCTTCCAAATTATTGTCTAGTATTGTTAATTTTTCATTAAAGCATGGCTATCTGGGGCAAATACAATTTTGGCTGAATTGAGGTATTTTTCAAGCACTCTCAAGTACACATTTTTGTTGCTAGCTTTCATTATTTCTATATCTGGTGATCAATGTTTGTTCCTGATGAAAATCTTATTTGTCTCCGTTGTAGTGAACCTGGAGATTTACTCATATTTGATTCAGCAGTATTGCTGAGGTTAATTTATCGGAGCGAATTTTTGTGAACACTATGCTGCGTGGTTAACTACTTTATAAACTGCATTATCCAATACTTATCATATCCTGTCTTTTTCTTGATTTATTTAATTTTCTATAGTAATAACTCATATTTCAAATTTTCATTTGCTGATGTTTTTCTATTGTATTGTTATTATTTACGAATATCATTTCTTGTGCGCAATAAAAGCATCTGTTAAGATACTCTGCTTTATTCACTTGACAGAATGCTGTTGGTCTTGAGCTTGTCAGTTAAACCGAATTGACCTTTCTCAAGCACAACTGTGAACAAATTTAAAAATTTAGATTTAAAAAAAATTAAATAATGACTTTAACATTTTTCATGATCCGTTTATAGCTTAATATTATATTTTATAAATTTATTAACAAGACTTACGGTTATTAATTGCCTATCAACATGTTAAAACAAAATTAAAATTGAACGATTTATAACTCTTTATTATCCTTTTATTAATATTATTATTATATTTTATTAGTTGTTCACGGATTATTGTGCCATAATCTGAACACTTTATAACATATTATTATCTCTACTACAGTATCAATGTTAATGTTATTTAGTTATTTTGTATGATTTTTTGTTTAATTGTAACTAAAATTGTTATTTTTCTATCTAAAGAGAATTAATCTATTTTTTTTAAACCAAGTTACTTCATCCCGAAAGTATAAATGCGAAGATTTCTATTCATCATCACAGTCATTAGCATCTTAGTAGATGTGTTGTGGTTCATAATTGGGCTTCAGCAGCTCGGACAGTTTGATTGATAATATTTCTCCACTGGTCGCGGTCATCAGTTATATGTATTGCCTCAGTATACTGTTTATTGAGAAGCTTTTTAGTAATGTCAGCCCATCGCTGTGGAGATCTTCCGCGTTGGCGTCGAGTCTGAGGCCTTCCTTGGACCACCAACCGCTCCATTTTGTGATCACTTCGATGGATATGGCCAAAGAACTTTAAAATTCTAGAGTAAACGGTACTGGAAAGACGCTGATCCGGTTTAATTTCATCCAGAACCAAGATATTTGTACGGCAAGCCCGTACGAATTCAAAGCAGGCGTCTCCATGTCCACATTTCAAAGGCGTCTATACGTCGTCGATCTGATTCTTTGACTGTCCATGTCTCGCATGCATAGTAAAATATGGAAAAGACCAGAGTTGAAACGAGTCTCTTTTTGTTTGTCATAGTAATGTGACGATCACGCCAGACCCCGTTTAATTCACTCATTGCTGCTCTTGCTAGTTGAATGCGTCTTCTAATTTCGGATTCACAACTGCCTGTGTTGTTAACTAGAGCTCCAAGATATATCATAGATGAGACTACCTCGCATCCCGCAATAGTTTGGGTTTTGGGAAACAGTTGTTGGCGATCAATAACCATGATTTTGGTTTTGTTGTAGTTAACCATGAGTCCAAATTTAGCACTTTCTACCTCGAGTTTTTTTAATAATTTAATAATTTCTTCTGGAGTAGAGGCTAGAAGTGTAATGTCTTCTGCGAAACGCAAGTTAGATATCTTAACACCACTTAGGTTTACTCGTCCCTCCCAACCATCCAAAACTCTGCGCATTATGAACTCCGAATAGATGTTAAATAATAAGGGAGATAAAACGCATCCTTGGCGTACTCCCTTCTCCAAAGTGCATTTGTCAGACAGATATCCGTCCATTCGAATATATGCCAGGTTATCTTAATACAGTTTGCTAATAAGGTGAGTCAAGTGTTTAGGTACACCCATTGTCGTCAATATGTTCCATAGTTTGTCCCATCTAACATTATCATTATCATATCATATCTATTAACGAAATCAAAATTCAGATTTTTGCTTTAATATGTGGCTTCTAAAAATTGCACGGCAAAACAGACGATACTTAAGATATATAAGAGAGAGATATCGAGAATCTAAAAGTTATACTCCACAACATATCTCGTCCAAGTACAAATCCTTGACGAATCGGTTCTTGTACTCATAAAGAGTAAACGGAACTAAAAGAAAAGACAGTTAAGATTTGATATTACGTCCAGTGCCTCTGTATATTCGCGTATTATAAGTATTTCATCCTAGCAGGAATCATCAGAGCGACAGGCACAGAAACTCCAAATGTAAAAAGAAATCTTTTTCGTCCAAAAAAGCAAAAGTTAAATGGATTTGATATGGACGCTATGGCGGTATCTGATAATATATCCCGAAAGTAGAAATGCCAAGATTTCTATTAACGAAACCAAGTGTATATTTTTGCTTTAATCTGTGCCTTCTAAACATTGCTAAAAGTTGCATTCCATAACATATTTATATTTTCATCTAAGCAAAAATCCTTATCAAATAAGTTTCTTGTAGGTATAAAGAATAAAAAAAACTCAAACCAAAAAACAGTTAAGATTGAATTTCCCGTATAGTGCCTCTATATATTCGCTTAAACGTAATTTATCCTAGCAGAAATTATCAGAGCGACTGGTACAGAAGCTCTAAAAGTGGAAACAAATTACAGAAAATACACAATGTGTTATACTGTGGAACAGTTTGTTTTAACAATAAACATAAAGCCAACAAAAACTATGGTTATCAGTAAGATGGCTTAAGTCATAACAAAGATCCAGAGAAAATATGAAGATATTGAAAAAGTGGGCAAAATGAAATAGGAGTCTCAATCACTAAAGATAGAATAGATTTAACAAAATTGTTAAATCGATTGTTTTTTATGGAACGGAAGCTTGGACTATTATTGTTGATTTAATGAGAAAGCTGGAAGCTTTTAAGATGGGGCTTTTTTAGGAAAATTTTGAAGATATCATGGACCGATCATATTATGAACGAAATGATGTTGCACAGAATGGGAAGATACAGAGAACTTTTGACCACCATAAAAAGGAGAAAGACAGCATGTTTAGAGTACATAGTCTAGATTAAATACACACGATTTAATAAAAGCAGCAGATACAGACAATTTGTAATGCTGTTAGCCAAACTTTATTAGTGGCACTAGAAGAATAATAGTTATTAAACGTGCTTTGATGAGAGACGGATAGAGCAAACATAGTAGAGATGGATGAAATAAGAGAGTATTGCAATATTTGCCACAAAATACGTATTTCTTCTGCAATTTTATAGACGGAGTAACTTTTTAAATTTCTGCAATTTTAGAATAAGACAAATGTTAGGTACTTATATATGAGGAGATTAAGGAAATCTAAGTATTGAAGTTATATTTTCTGTAGAACTGACTCAGGACTTACCGTCCTAAGTCCTAACTAAAATAAGGAGGTAATATTAATAAATAGTGTAAATTAAGGTACAGAGTGATGGTGTAGCTCGAAACAAGGTGGCGAAACAAGGATTAGAGGAAAAGGTATAAAAAACTAAAGTAATTGCAAATACATATTCCTGTTTTATTAGTTTTTATCACTACAGTACTGCCAAGTTAAAATAGGAATAGCTAACTTAAACAATAATCACTACAGGAACAATGTAACCCTTTTGTAGCAGTAAATTTATTATAATTTTAATTTGTTATTGCCTAGCTTATATGAGTAAAGAAAAGGCCAAAACCAAACCACCAAAGCACACATGAAAGACAAACTAACGAACATTGTATTATGCGGTACACACCATACTTAAAGATGAAAAGTAACGACTAAAACTAAGTGAGCAAAAGTGAGATAAAGATTATCGAAGACTGGATTACTCTGCAGCGAGGAGAAGGTTCGAGTATCTATACAAACAAAGATTCGACACAGCATATGCTTAACAACAGCTACTAAAACCTATCTCAAAGTTATAAATTTGGAGATGCGGTATACCCAATAAATTTTCATATGCTATTGTGTAAAGGATTACTGTGCCACAAAACCCCATTACCTATAATCTTTAATCTATTATTGTATCATTCAACGACTGGATTTAATTTTGAAAAAACTAACTTTAAGCCTCAACTGATTTCCTTGACAACATATTTCGTTGCATAGAGTTGATTTTAGTGTTTTACTATTTGTATGGTTTTATTATTTATGAAATAAATATTGTTAGTTGGCAATATATTAGAATTATTATAAATTTACTCGTAGAAATGTGTAATTCAATTTATAAAATTTAGCAAAGCTTCTATGTCTAAAATAAAACTCTTATTTGTTTCAGTTGTCTAGAATCATGTTATTGGCATTTTATAGAAGAGCGGTTTTGCTTCGACGAAAGCATAGCCAATTATCAGGAACCAATTACAAAAGAAGAAAAAAACAATAACTTTTGCGACAATATGGCGTTTTACGATAGCGTATCTGTGATAGCTGGAAGGGCAATAGTAACAATAGATCCCCTACCGGAAAAAAAGTGAGTATTATACTTTAATATTTACATTATTTATCAAAATTATACAAATTACGTGAAGATATTAAATTTATTGAAGATAAAAGGTTCAACATAAAAAGCTTCTAGATATATTAAAAAGAAAAAATATTGACAGTCGTGATATGAAAATTATATCTAATTTACATTGGAATCAAGGTAACAATTGACAGCCAGTATACTCAAAATATCCAAATAGAGATAGGAGTCCGCCAGGGTTGCATGCTGTCCCCACTACTTTTCAATGTCTACAGTAAAGCGGTATTTCAAGAAGCACTCTCAGACTCAATAGAAGGTATATCTATCAATGTAGAAGTTTTGAATAACTTACGTTTTGTAGACGATACAGTAATAATGACGGATAACAACAATGATTTACAGAACGTAATGCAACCCTTTAATAAACTCTGTCATGAGTATGGACTGAACATAAATTTAAAGAAAACTAAATGCATGATCATGACTAAATCTGCACAAGTAAATATTTAATTGACTACTGAAGATACTGCAATTGATAGTGTTAATAACTATAAATACTTAGGAACATGGATAACATCAGATGTAGATCAAACCAAATAAATTAAGACACTTATAGAAATATCACGTGCATCATTCATTAAACTTAAAAAGTTTCTTTGTAGTCGGGATATAAGGTTAGAACTACGCCTGAGAATGATTCGATGTTACATATTCTCTACTCTTCTTTATGGCTTGGAAGCATGGACACTAAAACAAGTTTATTTAAATAAGTTGGGCGCCTTTATATTTTGGTGTTACAGAAGAATCCTACGAATATCATGGATTTAAAGAATGACAAATGTGGAAGTAACTAGAAGGATAGGAAATGAGTACTTAGGACATGTGATGAGAGGCAAAAATACGCATTATTTCAACTTAATATGCAAGGCAAAATCCGAGGAAAGCGAAATGTGGGAAGACGAAGGATATCCTAGCTTAATAACTTGAACGGAATGGTTTGAATACAGTATTCGAAGATGGAGAAGATAGAAATTAAAGAAGAAGATTAAAATTGTATTCCTTATGAAATTAGAGTTATACTTACCTATCATCTTTGAGTGACAATAATTATTTTAAAAATGTGGTTATGTATTAATGGAATTATTGTGAAATTCATGTGCGCCACCAGCGTCACTTTAAATTTTTTTAATCATTATATATTTTATTCAGATTATTTTCAAGCTGAGTGAAACCTTTTTTTTTTTTCTCAAATTCATAAATTTTAACAAACAATACTGATAGTATAAAATAACCATATCCTATTTTTAATACAATAAGTTTGTCAATTCTGACGTACTTTATGTTAGATTATTTTTTTTTCATATTAGAGTATGAGGCAAATACCCTCTATAAAACGAACTAGTTTTACGAACGTGCAACGTTTTTGTTTTGGAATCAAACAGCAAGTATCAAGGTTGAGGGCAGACTAACAGAAGAAATTCAAATCCGTCGAGGAGTCCGGCAGGGATGTATCTTATCGCCACTTTTATTTAATCTGTATAGTGAAGCTATCTGTGAACAAGCACTCGAGGAAGAAGATCTTGGTCTGATAATAAATGGTGAGACGATCAACAATATAAGGTATGCTGACGATACAGTTCTCCTAACGGGAACGCTAGTAGAACTACAACATCTCGTTCAAAGTCTCAATATATACTGTAACAGTTACGGCTTGAAAATTAATTTGAAAAAAACTAAATTTATGGTAATCACGAAATCAAAGAACATCAGAGCTAATCTTGTAATAGACAATACAACGATTGAGCGTGTGCCCTGTTCACGGTGCTTGGATCACAGACGATACTGATCAAACAAAAGAGATTAGATGTAGAATAAAAATCGCTAGATCAGTCTTTAATAGAATGCGCAAACTCTTTTGAAATCGTGATATCAATATAAAGTTACGAATACGAATGCTGCGGTGTTATGTCTTTTCTACCCTGTTATATGGAGTTGAAGCTTGGACACTAAAACAGTTGACCATAAAAAACATCGAAGCTTTCGAGATGTGGTGCTATAGGCGCATTCTCAGAATATCATGGATGGACCGCGTCACTAACACGCAAGTACTCCAAACTTTAGACAAAAGATGCGAAATTCTAAATGAGATAAAAACTAGAAAGATGGAATACTTGGGGCACATTGTGAGAGGTGAAAAGTACGAACTTTTAAGAAACATCATACAGGGCAAAATTAAGGGCAAAAGAAGTGTGGGAAGAAGAAAAATATCGTGGCTTCGTAATCTACGTGAATGGTTCGGGTGTAGTTCGATTGAACTTTTCAGGCGCGCTGCTAACAAAGTCGCAGTGGCCATGATGATTTCCAATCTCCGCTGGGAGTGGTACGAGAAGAAGAAGAAGAAGAACGTTTTTGTAGAATAATTCAATTAAATTAAATAGACGAAATTCATAAAAACATCAATAATTCGATATTCTCGTGTATAAAGTAAGAAGATGGCGTCAGGTAAGGATGATCGCGATGGCGAGAGCAAAAAAAACCAAGTTTACTTGTTGCAAAACTAAGAAAATATGCACAATAATATGTGTAAAGTGTAAAAAAGCATTTCACAAATCATGCACGGCACATGATTGGGCCTGAGAACTTCAAATTTTACATGAAACACTTGTGATTTGTTGTGATTCTAAGATAACCTTTAATAGTGGGGATGACACAAAAAATACCATCATTCATCTGCTAAATGAACTAATTTGTGAGTTGAGAAGTAAAAATCAAATCTTAGAGGAAAATAATAAGCTCAAGGTCAGTTGACACAGTCATAGAACGGCCACTTTGTTCTGTGGATTTGTCTAAGCTGCCACTTGGCTGCCACCTAAACCAGGAATACCAAATAGTTCAATTGCATCTGTGACGCCTGTTAAAGATATCAACCATCAGCTGATTAAAAATAAAAATGATAAATGCAACACACAAAAAACAGGTTTTTACAAAACAATTCGTCCAGCACTAATTAGATAACCATATCCACTCCAGTGACGCAAAGAGACTGCTGGAAGTATCCTGCGTCTGGCTACAAAACATATGGCTATTTTCCCGTCATTTTTCTATCCAAAAACGTAAGCTCAGGAAATGTTTAACTACCTAAAATAAAGAAAACTAGACGAAAACGTTATGTATGTGGATATCTGCTGGTTTATGAAGTCGATGCCTCCCATACAACGATTATATTCAGAAATGAGATAAGTTTGTGGTACTTAAATAATTTTTTTTCGGATTATAAATAGCGTTTTATTTGAGTGACTGCATTGACGCCATGACATGTAGATGCTACTGTCACTATATCTTTTTTATCAAAGACAGAGATCATGCCTCTTCTTTGTCCAATCTTGAAATTGGAACAAAAGATTATTGAAGTGAAATGTAATCAAAAGCTTTCTTACTTTATCCGAAAACTCATCTATTATGCAAAGTAAAGGAGCAGCACATTTTCCAAAATCGCTTTTGGGTTTTTTCCTTGATTTATATCAAAGTTTACCAAATAACCAGAAGCAGAGTTCAGGGTCCACATTTTATATCCAAATCTGATAGGCTTACTTCGAATAAACTGTTTACATAAATGCTTCTCAAAGTGTTTGATCAGAGCCTTATGGTAATTCAACTTCTGTGTGATCGGTGCAATTCAATTTTTTTAAAATTTGGCGAAACCAATCTCTTCTCATACATTCAGTTATCAAAATATTTTTCATATCTTGCTTGGAATTCCGGTAAAAATCTCTTTCAGAGTATCCTATTAGAATCATAATACCAATTACACATTTAATTTTTAAGTTAGAAAGTTTTGGATTCGGTTTATTGCAGAAAGTGCTTATTTTACTGATTCGTCCACAAGTAGTTCAATTATTTCTCTATTAACAAACATCTCGAATATATATAAATGGTCCATATCACTATATTACTATAATCTGGTTGGGAAAAATCCTTGCTCACACTTTCAAAGTCATCTTCAATCCAGAATATTTTTTTAAACCAGGGCGGGCAATATTTGAAACTAGCTCTAATACGCAGTGCTGTCTCCTGCGTTAACCTACACCTGAAAGTATCAAATGAATATACTAGATAATTATCAACACACAGACAAGACGCTTAACTTTTCTGATCGTCTGTATACCATATATGCAACACGCAAGAGGTTTATACACATATAATATTTTTTGTCTCCCTGGACCAGCCAGTTTTACCATACGACAACACCAACATTTTTAAACTTACTTATATTACAAAACTTAAAATACTGTCAAAACAAAATTTGGTCTGGAACTAAAGAATAAGTATCTATAAATACCCTTTTGTAAATATTTTTTATAACAATTCAAAAACCAAGTTTTAATATTACTTACTCTAGACGAATGTCCATGTTTAATAGCTTGTAACTGTTAAAGATAGTTCAAGCCCTCCTAACCATGGAACTGCGCGAAGACGAAGTTAAATTCACGTAAAGGCAGAAAGGTTCTATTGTAAGTGGAAATATACAGTGCATAGTAAAATGCGTTTCGCATGAAAGTGGGAACTAAACCAAATTTCATATACTGCGCCGTCGTCAAGAGTGCTTGCTCACACTCTACCACAATTTAAGAGTTTGATTAAAACTGCCAAACCGATTTCCCGTCGATGATGTATCCTTGACTTTCCAAATGCCTGTTCACAAATAAGCAACGCATTCCAATCAAACGAAAAACGGTGTTGCCACTTCTAAAATGTAATTGTCAACCGTAACCATATGGTTACGCCAGCCGTTGAAGGGTTAAGACAGGAACATTAAATAAATTATATTTAAATAAACCAAGTCTAACTATATGAGAATGTGAGATCTGTATTAGATGCCACATTCTCAAAAATCTGGTCTATTATATTTTATGAGAAAACAACACATTTACTCTTGAGTAAAACGGAGAACACCTAGCATGTTATTACCCGAGCTCTGAGCTTAACACTAAGGTCTGATAAGAAAT